TGAGAAGCAGCAGGAACTTTTCGTACCTCTTCCAGTGAATAGTGAAGTTACATCACAAGCTGAGGAAGATGAAGTTGCGAACAAGAGTCAGACAGTGAAACCTCCCCGACCACCCAATCCACTGATCGAGTCTATTGCAGTTCTTGATAAGAGCAAAGTAAGTATACTTAGATTCCTCACTTAATACAGTAATTGCTTATAATTGACACATGTGGTAATGATTTCTGCAGCTACGCAAGGTTGCTGAACGAGTTAGACCTGAAATACAGAAAACAGATGAAAGAGATTCACTGCTGGAGCAAATCAGGGCTAAGGTAAGTTAATAAGACAAATTCGAATTTCTGTCTGTGGTAGGTTGTTATTTTTCCGGTGATCATGCACCAACCACTTCCATTTTGTGTCAGTCCTTCAACTTGAAACCTGCTGTGGTTTCGAGGCCTTCTGTTAAAGGTCCTCAAACCAATCTTAAAGTTGCTGCAATTTTGGAAAAAGCAAATGCCATCCGGCAGGTACCATTTTCTCCTATCTTTTGTCCGTTTGCAGTCACCATTACGATATTTTTGTAAAAATTAAGTCCTAATGGAAAGTTCTACTGAAATTCCAGGCATTTGCTGGCAGTGATGAAGACGATGAAGATAATTGGAGTGATTCGTGAAAATTATCCATCGATATATTCTAAAAACACGATGTGTTGAAAATCTTCTTCAGCCATTTGACCAAAGGGTGATCTGTTTTCTACTTGTCTACTCATGCGTCTTTTGGTTCTCTTCTCTTTCCCTTGTATTGTGAATAGATTGATGCATGGATAAAGCGGTTGTGTGATTCAGTTTGTGTATATTTGAGGCCAAATGTTGCAATTTATGGAACAGACAATTTCCCTTTCGTTGTTATTGTTCTCAATTGTAAAAGTGTAGGACAAATCAAATTTTGTCTTGTCCGTGGTACATAGTAATTTGTTACAAGAAATAATTTGTTAGCAATCTATCTGTGCTCTACTTTATTTTTTTTATTTTTTTTTTTAATTTTTTGATTCGTTTATTCGTATCTAAAGTTGGTTCTTTTAATCATTAAATAAGTTGATTAGTGAGTAATGATAAACAAATCTGACACTTGCCATCCCGTAAATAGAATGAGAACAACGTTGACCATGTCTAATTCTCATAATCATTAATAATATCTATACTTATATAAAAATGATCCTATTTACTATAAATAGTATGTAGAAAAGTCAACTATAATTAATGTCATTACTATTTCCAGCAAGTACTAGTGCGGTACCCGTGCGATGCACGGGTTAGTAATAGTTAGGAATCATTCTGATTTTGATGATGGGATCATTGTTCAAAATATAAAACGCATTTATTGGAATAAAAAATAAGGTTATTTATATACACAACATGCTTTGTTTGAGTTCTGATACATCGTCATGTGCACAAATTAAAATCTTCAAACATGTACGATTCGTAACGTGTGAAACAATTACATACAAGTTACTGTGACTGAACACTGATTTCTTCAAGAATATGCCAACACGAAATATATATATAGATATCTCTCTCTCTCTCTCTCTCTCTCTCTCTCTTTTACATTTGCATTTGACATTGTATCTCCCGTCCTTTTTTTCTTTTTGTATTTGTTATGGTAACTTTTAATAAAATATAACATATTTTTTTTTGAATTTAATCGGTAGTATATATTACAATTAGTTTGTTGAAATGATTTGTATATATCGGGATTAGTGTTTAAAGCATATGCTACATTTACGTTTAGCAATTGTTAGTACACAAGTAGATTTTAATTTGATTATTTTCCTGTTCAAAAATTAGTTTATTCTAAGTGTGAAAAAAAATTATATTTTTTATGCTTTATTTTGTACGGATTTTTCTGTTACAAAATAAATTATAATAAATAGCGGTCTTTATATTCTATTTGCTTGATAATAGTTTGCTAGTTTAATAGATGGATGGTGCCGAATTATATTCTATAGTTTAAAAAAATGGGTACATAATTGAATGAAAAGAAAAAATATTTAATATCCAAACAATATTTTTTATTAATTCAAAATCGGCAAAAAATTATATGTTAATAAATTTCATAATTCTAAAAATGTGAATTGTCTCAAAATAAAAACCTAATAAGCAGATAATCCATAAAAACCTAAAAATTGACAAAATAGACTTATAATAAATCCCATAACTTATTAAAATGACTCCATGATTCATTTGTCATCCTCTAATCGTGAATCATGTGGCTCGCCAATCTTAGCGTTGCCTTTTCAAGCTGTGGCAGACACTATTACTACCATTATTTGGTACAGTAGAACACAGAAAGATCATCCATTAGATTACGCTTAGCAGTTGACATGTCGTTTATGTGCTCAATTACTTGAACAATCTACACCATTTCCAAAAAATATTTCTTTATGAATAGTGTAAAAATTGAAAACATGTAGTTTATTCATTGAATACAAAGCATTCCATTATCATGATCTTCCTTTGTAGCAAAGTGAGAAAATCCCATTCCTATAATTAAGTAAAAATTTAAATTAAAATAATATACATAAATAAATTATGAAAATCATATTAAGTGATATAAGGACATACATTCTCTTCAATCGACTGGTTGTGTTTGGAGACTAAGGATTCATCAGTCACAACCCTTACAACCCAAGTCTTCATAGCCTATAATATATAAAAATTAATTTATAATCTATTAATTATAAATATGATATTCTAACTATCATAAAGGAAAATATTTTGTGTAAATTAATCTGTTTCGAATTATATCTCATGAGTCTTTCAATTAACAACCATCTCCTTTTTCGAGCTCTTCCATTTCATTATTAAGCACACAACCAGTTGGGTTTTTTCCTCTCCACCATTTTTGATTGAATTTACTTCAACTCAACCATCATTCCAATAACATCTATCATACGGACAGAAATCAATTATATTAATGTGATGCTATATATAAAACAATAAATTCATAATTTATCTTAATTTGTACCATGACCAAACATCATTGGAAAATCTGCAAACTACTCTAATATCTCCGTCTTCCCATGATTGTTTATCTTGTATTTTGAAATGGTAGAGCGATTAGTTGTTGATATTACTCTTCACTTACTAATTGCGAAGGGCATAAAGATTACCTCGAATCAGACATGTCATTCAGCCTCTGGGAAAAATAAAAATTAAAAGCAATCAAATTTAGGAACAATACAAATCTATTTAACATGAAATAATAAATAGCACAAAAGAAAGTTTTTCTAAGCAAACCTCTGCCATGGAAAACAATTTCCATGTAACTGAATTTCCAAATAAGTGCGGTAAGGCGATACGAAGCTTCATCATTAGCTTGCTAATTCTTTTAATATCCGTTGTGAAGCCACATGGTTAATCCATTAAATAGGATGTAATTTTCAGATTCTCCTCATAGGCCGAAAAATGTGCATGCTTTATATGTTTAATAGTGTATTTTTATACACTTAATTTATTTGCACGTTTATATTTTTCGACCTATTTATTATTTGGATGGATTCATATACAATGATATTTTTATATTTATTTTTAGTGCATTGGAGTATTTTGTGGATCCGAAGCATTAAACGAGAGTTCACGCGAGTCATTATTGGGCCCCGTACCAGGTCAATTAAGCCCGAAGCAATATTTAATTAAGAAAAGCCCAATCCTTTCCAATTACATTGTAGACAAAAGTGGGGATATTATTAATGTGATTGGGCTTGGTAGACAAAAGTGGACTTGGAGCAATTTGGAGCTGATCACGTGTTTGGCTAAAGGAAAATAAAAATGATTTTTTATGGACAAAATAGATTTTGGAGTGTTGAGAATCTGCTGGGGTCTCACAAATTAGTTGAAGGAGTAGGACACTGGGATTTATTTGGCGGCCAATATACACGCAGCGGAGGGACTTATTCTTTTTTTTTAGGCGACAGAGAAAAGAAACGCAGCGACACAAAGAGAACGGAACTCACGCACGGATAGAGAACAATTTCACGTGGAGGGAAGCCGCACTCGCATATAAGAGGGAGATTTATTCTTTCTCTTTTATTCTATTATTTATATTTTATTAGTATGTTAGGCTAGTTATTTTATCCAGTTTGAGGGGATGTTTGAACCCTAACTTTGATTTGTCTATGGATTGAAAGATTTATTTTTATCATTGATTAATCGAAACGCCGTATTTATTTTTGTTGATGAGTTGATTCATGTTATCTATGTTTAATGTTTATGAATTATGGTGTTTGATTTAGTTTGGCCAGCTAGATTGAATATTCTTAATTTAACTGCTAGATTCGAGGCTTTAATCCGTAATTGTTATTGTCTCGTTTCGTTAGTAGTAAACTAGGGGTCGTGCATCTCTAGGGTAGCATGAGCATAAGTTAAATGGTCCGAGCTTCTGCGTCCATTGCTTAGACTGATCTATTTTCCTAGGAATTAATGCTGCTAGTGTATTAAATCTAGAGAGCTTATTCTAGGTTGTCCGCTAGTTAGGTTTAGTCGAAGAGCTTATTTCGATTAAATATTCGGTAAGGGAAAATTCGGTTAACAGAGCTTGTTGTTAGCTAGGGTCGGTAATTCATTAGCAATTTAGAGAAAGCGTCGAAATTAATTAATGGTAGATTTAGATTGGGTGATAACTGAACCGAAAACTGGACTTCTCTCATTTTATTTGATTTTTATTTTATTTTCTTATTTTTATTTTTATTTTTATAAAACCAATCCCCCCATCTTTTATTGCTTTCCTAGTTTAATTCAATTAATACGAGATTGTCACAATTGAATTCCTGCTCCTCGTGGGATCGACCCTTACTCGCCACTACTACTAGTTAGTAGAGGTTAGTTGAGGAAAACTTATAAATTTAAATTTGCCGCGTCGCGACGCGCGGGATTCCAAACCAATCTTTTCTCTTACCGGGTCTATGATCTCCAGATCGGTCGGGATTCCAACTGCATTCGTCACATAGAATACGTTTCGGGTTATATCCCAAGCTGTCGATATCTCAGCCCGTTTTCATGAAAAGTCCGCATCATGTCTGCCAACAGACCTTTTCTATCGTCCGCACACAGCTCGATCCTAGCACCCTATATGATTTTAAAAAAAAAAAGAGGGGAAATGTTAATTTGACTAAATCACAAAAAAGGTCTTGTTAGAATAATGGATTTCTTTTTTCCTTTTCACAGCACCTTAGATGCCCTTCTCTCCTGCCTGTAGAAAAAAAATCACACACTCCTTCTCGGCCTCGGAGCTAATCGGTGTCCCATCTCCTCATTTCAAATAACAACCAAAGCATTAATTGACACAAATAAATGAATAAATAAACAGAACTCAAATTATAATGAATAAAAAGACCATAAAATTATCAGACGCCGATACACGCAACATCAAACATAAGCTTATTCCAATCAGGCCTAACCGATACCCTCCTCTCCAAATAATTCCCAACCGATACACTCGAGCCCAAACCAGACCTAACCACATCCCTCATCTCACAGTCTTGGTCAGCAAACATAAACTGGTGGAGCCTCCTCTCGGTATGCATCACGGCTAACAAAACCGAGGTTCTGAGGCTCCGAATGTTGTTGTCCTTTTTCAGCACGTTCTCCAAAATTGCCCCGATTGTGTCTAACTTCTTTTCGTCCTCTATTGGTGAGCCCGAATGGTTGTCCCTACATAAATTAAGGATGTTATACGGCTGTCGTGTGTCCAAACCTTGGCATTGACTACACTACAAATCAAATTGAAAAAGCTCAGATAGAAGTCTGACTCGGTCCGTGCCCGTTAGCTAAAGGGCCGTCAAACCCTCGATGCTTGCCGGTCGGCCGTAACAGACCGTCTCAAGGGACTGCATAAACAACCAATTAGATAGATGATCAATCAACTAAATTGATAATAAAATTAATTGTTTTGGACAACGTGTAATGCGGTAGTAATTAATATAATTGAATAGATTACCTGTTCGATGCAGCCGAGGATGCTCGATGCAGACAAAAAAAATTGTCTGGAACTAATTTGGATTATGGAAATAAAAGATCGAAAAATTCGATAAACATGCAGAAAATAATTTTAAGAGGGAGGAAAAGAAAATGTTGGCCCAAAAAAAATTCAAATAATATCGATGATCTTAAAATCGATAAAGAATCACCGGAAGTGATAATGGCTTATGGGCGTAGCCATGGTGCTCCACATGGTCACCCTTAATTCGTGCTTCGCTATCGGCCATCACCGCCACGTATAGGGCGCCGAACTCCTCAACATCCACCTGTTCCCCCGTCGGTGTCGATCTTCCAAATGATTGCTGCAACTCATCTGCTAGCACGCGGATCCCAGATTATCCAGCGACTCGTCGAGCTCCTCCCGACTAATCTTGTCATCGTCGTTCATCGAGCATAGAGAAGACATGACGGAGCTCCTGCGTGCCCGTATCTTGATGTGTGGAGCCCTAATTAGTGGGGAGAATTAGTTTGCTATTTGATCGGTTCACCCAAAAATATTGGGAGAGATTTGATTAACAGAAAATCTGGATATACCAAAAGAAAATTATTTCCTTTAAAATCGGATTTGATTAACAGAAAATTGGATATACCAAAAGAAAATTGAATGGCGGGTTGACATGTTAAAAAATTCAAAAAAAAAATTACGAACTATATAAGCGGGAAAATGACTTATGAAGCGGGAAAACGAAATATTTTTTTCCGAATTGTTTGAATAGTTTTTCTTAATTGTATTATATAGTAATAGATATCACCGTGGTAATTTAGAAATAAGAAGATTCGGTCAGGAATAGGTAATGTAGGATTCTTAAGAATAGAAAATATTCCAAATTTATTTTTCTTTATTCGGATCTAAATATTAAGTATAAAAAATAATCACATAAAATAGTTATTTAGATTTAAACCAATATTAAGTGAAAATGTGGGATATAAATGGAATGTATGTTATCTTTTTTTTTTTAGACATGTAGATTCTAAAATAATTATATTGTATTATTCCCAATCTTTATTTTTTTACAAATAGATTTATATGCGTCATTTAATTTACTTTATATTTAGTTAAATTTGTTAATCTTTGTATTTATTTATATGTAAATCTTAATCATGGTCTTTTATTCATGGCACAAAATATGGCACATGTTTTTATCTGATTGAATCAAATCCGTATCATTTGGTAAAATAAGATGTGACCAAAGATCATCAAACTGTTTTACATTTATCTATCCTACGTATTAGGAAACAATATAACTGATTGATGTAGATTTATATGCATCTTTCATTTAATTTATTTTATAATTAGTTAAAATTGTTAATCTTTGTATTTATTTTTATACTGAAAAGGAATTCAATTGCAATGTAATATTTACAAAAATAATATTTTTTTTAAACTAAAACATTTATTCCATTACACATCAATTACGTAATTGTGAAAAATTATTAATTAGAATTTTTTTATAAGCATTATTCCGTGCACACTGATTAATAGAATTGAATATAGCTAATAAAGCAAACGATTTTGTAACCGAATTGAAAATATTTTTTTAGTGCAAACCAAAAATATAGCTAATAAAGCAAACGATTTTGTAACCGAATTGAAAATATTTTTTTAGTGCAAACCAAATTGTTTTGAAAGAGATTTAGCAAAAGAGATTTGTATAAAATATGAATCTTTCTTGGGAACGAATTTTTTACTGCATGAACAGCTGTTAATTTTGAAATGCGTGGGGAAAAAAAAGCCGGATTTACTTCCGTTAATTATGCAAGTGAACAGAATCTCGCCTAAATAGATTTTAATTCCGTGAAAACCAAAAGAAAATTCAGATTTTTAAAGATGTTCCATAATTAGTAAGTCAAACATTTGACTCATTTATTTTAACTTTCCATAAATGAATTTACCATCAACCTTTTTCAATATATATAGATTATATTTAGTTATTTTATTTATTTGTTTTATATCCCATACAATGTGTTTCCTGCTAATTAATGCCATTACTATTTCCAGCAAGTATTATATTTAGTTATTTTATTTATTTGTTTAATATCCCATACAATGTGTTTCCTGCGAAAAAATCCTAGAAAATCATAGGCAGTTTTTGTAGATTGAAATTTTCTTCTTATCCCATTACTATTTCCAGCAAGTATTTTATTTAATTATTTTATTTATTTGTTTTAACTTTTATCTATACTTATATAAAAGTCATCATATTTACTAGAAATAGTAGGCAGAAAAGTCAAAGGTAATTAATGCATTCTATTTCCTTCAAGTATTTCAATTATATTATTATTTTATTGCTAAAAAACCGGTTTGCATTAATTCATCCCATGTTTTAAATACTGTACCATACCGGCCGGTAATACTGGATACCGGCCATTGGTACGGTACAATTACACTCAAAATACCCGATTTACAGTTATACCGGTTTGTAACGGGATCATACCGCAAAAACCGCAAAATACCGATCCAAAATACCGGCCAATAAAAAAAATACTTAAAAAAAATTAATTTAAAAAAATAAAATTTAATTGGTAGTTAAAATGTTTAATTTTTATCTCATTGAGAAGTTGTAATTAATGATTATGGTCATTTATTTTTTACTTTTTTGCATTTGATATTATATATTTTTATGTATATTTATATATATCATTATATTTACTAATCTGGTAATACCACCGATATTATCGGTCCTACCGGTAATATCGCGTACCGGTGGCTTGACCGGTATGACCACCGGTACGGTATTTAAAACACTGAATTCATCCTTAATTGATGTGTTTTGCAATAAAATCGGACAGATAGACTTCAAGTAAAAACATGTCTCATTTCAAATTTATATTTAAACATTAAAATTTCTTATCATTTTGTTACATTAAAATTCTGAATGAATTGTTTGCCATAAAATCATACAAAATAATAATTGCATAGAATTCAAGTAAAAACATGTCTCATTTAAAATTTAAAATTTAAAACTCCTTATCATTTTGTTACATTTTCCGAATGATTTGTTTCCCATAACATCAAACGGAATTAATAATAGCATAGAATTCAATTATGATTTCTAATTTATATCAAGGATGTTTAATAATGGCATTGAATTTTAAAGATGTTTATTTATTATAAAAAAATTAAATTCTAAAGAAATATTTGTGTATATTTTGTAAAATATTTGTACAAAATATTTTAATTTAAATTTATTTATATAATTTGAATTAATTACATTAATAAATAATATGAACATACATTAAATATTTTAATTACATAAAACAAAAAGAAGAAGAAGACTACATCCATAACTTGTATAAATAACAATAATGACATTATATTACAATAAGTTTTATAATAAAGTAACATGAGTATTATACGACGAACAAGATTACGTAAAATTGTTATTTTTTTTTATATCGAGGATAATGAAATCAAATTTATATTATTATAAACATGTGAGCGAGATAATATATCAATTAATTTACGGGCTAGCGCTACTAGACTCAGGTTTAGAGCATGTTTGGATACAAAATTTTTCAAAAAAATCCAAACATTTTTAACTCAACCACTTTTTTTAACTCAACTTTAACTCAAACCCACTATCATCAATATTATCAATATAATTAAATAATATCAATCAATCATTCTTACACACCACCTTACCTTAATTCACTATTCATCCACTCACATAATTTTAACTAACCATCACTTCAAATTTTCTCTCTCCTACTTTACATCAAATCAATTTTAATCATTTTATTTTAAATATTATTTAATATACTCATCAACAACTAACCATACCAACTTTTTCAAAATTAACCAAACTAAACAAAAAAATCCAAACAAAACCAAAATTTTTTATATCCAATCATCCTCTTAATGTTCCGACAAAAAAAATGACGTTGATGAAAAGATGTAAAAAGATAAATGATCAAACTCTATTATTTTTTAGGCCTGAATGGACAAGCCCTATGGTCCACTCATTTAATATCTCACGTGAATCGCACGAGTTACTTAACGGACAAGCTCTATGAAAATGACTCATTTAATACTTCTGTCCCGTGCAACGCACAAACTACGTACTAGTAATACTTTATGGATCACTTTGACTACAAATGTCATATTATCCACACCAAGTTTATGGAATTAGATGCTTATCCTCAACATAGAATTTCATTAACTTTTAGGCCTCATTTATTGGGATTGTGTGTTAATGCTAATCAGAATCGTGTGTTAATGTTAAAGAAAAATCACAACATGCATATAATTAATTAATAACTTATATTAAATATGCATATAAATTAATTATTAATTAATAACTTATGATAAAATTATTAAACATTATAGATAGGAAATAGCATACCATACATCTGTTTTGAATGTATAAGTGTCATTTTAGATATTTAAATTAATGTTGTTTTGAATATATAAATATATATAATACAATTTTCCAACTTCTATATTAATTATTTTGGATTAAAAATAAAATTACAACAATAAAGTATTAGTAAAAGAGACCATTGAAAATATTATTCAGTTGCGATTTAGAAATCTGTTGCCTTCCAAATTCATGGATAAACTACTGAAAGTTTTTGAGTCATATATTCAGTTATTAAAATGGAAATGGATATTGAAAGAATATCTGAAAGTTTTTGTTCCATCTAACGACTAGTCATATATTCAGTTATTAAAATGGAAATGGATATTGAAAGAATATCTGCAGTCGTGGGAGATGGTCTATTCTTCCTCTTTAATAAGTTAGATTAACATTGTTATTTGTTGATGAACTCTAAAGTTAGTTATGCAAGCCTCAATAGATTGGATGGAAATTGGCATTTAATAACAGTTGACAATTCTAACTGTCATGCATTGCTTGCATGTTCTCATAATCTATACTTATATAAAAGGATCCTATTTACTACATTTAGTATCCAGAAAAGTCAACAGCATTAAATGTCATTACTATTTTGGTATTAGAATATTTTATAATCATTATAAAATATTTTGAGGAAAACAATTTATGAATTCACTTACCATAATAATCTCATTCAGATTTATAAAGCATTGATTGAGGACATTATAATCAGATTTTTTATTATTAAATATAGATTAATTGTAAAATACTAAATTTATATATATAATCGATCAGATTTTTTATTATTACACATAGATTATATTTTTGATTCATTATATTGCATTTAGATTTATTAGGTAATGATCTAAACATATAATGATTATATATAATTTAGGGTTACATTTATAAAGATCAATCATTCATATTTTTTATAATCATTATATTTTTAATCCAAAATTTTACGTACTGAAATTTACGAAATAAATTTATAAATCTTATATTTTTCAGAATGAATTCAATACGAAAAAAATTTAGTCCAAATTTACGTGTGGTTTTGAAGTGAAACTTTGAAATTCAAAATCTCTTTCTCATTTTAGTTACAAAAAAATCGGGCTGCATTCAACACTTGGACCAATTTAAAAATTATTCCTAAATGAAGGAATTTATAGATAATTATCTCTACTCAATCACATGATTATTTTCAATATAAAAAGAGATAGATTACAAATTAGTGAATCATATATTACCTAATTCAATATCTTAATATTAAAGAATAAATTCATAGTATTATTGTTGATAACCGACTTGGTTTGGAAAGATTAGAGCTAAAGAATAATTATTTTATCCGATTAAGAATTCTTTGGAAATGGATACAAACATAGCTCAACTCTGCAGAGGTCAGATATATTAGTCACCGACTTCTAGATGGAAAAACCGGCATCAAGACGATTAATGAAGAGACCATTAAATAAGGAGCCGACGACCGACTTCACCAAATCATCTCTGTAAAAGATTATCCACTCATCCGACATCCGAGAAGATCGAGTCTCTAAGCAAAAGGAGCTGCACACGTTTGATTGGACCATCAAAGCAAATAGCAATCATTGATGTTCCCTCATTCTGTTACAAACCGCTTAATTGAAGCTGCTCAACATTAAATACGATCTTATCTACCTTAGACAAAAAGACAAAAACTACCGTACTATAAATAGCAGAATTTATGATAGTACGAGGATCTTTTTCTTTTTTTCCAAACGCATGGTACATGGGCTTAAAATGATCTCGGTTAAGAATGAAATAACCGACTCCTGTACTTTTGTGAATACATCAATAAAATCTAATTTTATATTTATCTTTGTTTAAACACAAACTGCTGTTTGTAATTTTAAGTTGTTAATTCCATACAACAACAATTATGTATATCCGTATCTCATATTATTATATAATTAAGAATATATTATAGTTATATTATCAAATCATAAAAAGATATTAAACCCATATTGTGAAAAAAATAATTTATATAATTTTATAACAATTCTACTACACTATTTAACCGTATTCATTTTTATTATATAATAAAATAATAATTAAATATTATATAGTGAACAACAATAAGTAAAACTATTACTTTCTTTTAATTTCAAGGGATAAATTTGTATGCTAAAATTAAATATTTATTAGTATAAATGTCTTAGTGAGATAATATATTAATTATTTTACAAGCTAAACCTAACCTAATATGCTCATATTTAATGTTCTGGCTAAAAAAACAACGCTGGTTAAAAGATGTGAAAAAAAACTTATAATAATCCTATTATTTTTTAGACTTAACGTTGATTAAAAGAGGTAGAAAATAGATAATAACCCTATTATTTTTTAGACTTATCTAACTCATTTAATATCTCTATCTCGTGCATCGCACGGGGTACGTACTAGTGTCAGTTGTACACTAACAGCAACAACAACAACAACAACAACATACCCAGTATATCCCCAACAACAGGTTGGGATCTGGGGGGTCAATTGTACACAGACCTTACCCTTGTAATTATACAAGGAGGCTATTTCCGTAGCGACCCAAGGTGAATTGCGCCGTTTGATATATATATATATATAAATTTTTTTCTAAAAACTTCACTAATAGAAGAAGCACTAGAATTTAATTGAGTCATTTTGATCTAATCCATTATTAGCACTATGCCACGAGAATTGTCAACAATGACTATGAAGATGAGTTTCGCTGCTTTATTGGGAATCTATCATGGTCGACATCAGACAGATGTTTAAAGCAGGCATTTGAAAAGTTTGGCCATCTTGTGTATGCAAAGGTATAATATGCAAATCAATCTGAATCTTTGTTCTTTGCTTTTGAACACTGAGATTTCTAGTCCGTCCGTTGTGTACTTGTGTCTAATTGGTAATATATATCTCTGTGCCCATTTGTATATTTCTTAAATTACGTTTCCTTATGAATTATTATGGAATTAATTGCCGGTTCTGTTTAAGTCCTTTGATCCCCATTCCTTGTTTGTCGTTTAAATAGTTTCTATGTTTGTTTAGGTTCCCATGTGCATTGTTGAACAGGCTTTAGTTTTGATCCAAAGATGTTTCAATTTGAATTCTAAAAATACCGAATTCACTTCTGAAAAAGCTGAGAATTTCTTTCACAGGAAGGATCTTCTAGCTCCATAATGTCACACTAACAGCAGCTCATAAAAACACAGACCTCCATCAAGTTTATTCACTGCATTTCTCCTTTATTCTAGGGACTGTTGGGTCGAATACAAGAAGACGGGGCATTTAAGTCGACCGGGTCAAAGTTCAAACCATCCCCAGCACAAAGTTTCTCCACATCACAAACAATCACTCAACAATCACAATTCGAATTCATTGGTGGAAAACGGGCAAACAATAATTCCTCTACCTCTTTTGGGGACGATGATGAGAAAGAAGCCGAAGCCAAAAGATGGTGAGAATTTTTCAAATCATCCAATACCTCAATGAGTTAGTGTCTTTCAATTATTGATATTATTTCGGTCGAATCAACTTAACTTATATAGTTAGTTATCCAATTGATGTCTTTCCATACCACACCGGCTTCTATCATGCAATAATAAGCACACACTAATTTCTCACATGATTTGATTCGAGGTCTCCCAAACATGCAAGTCTCAAACAAATACAATATAGAGACGGGCAGAGAAAGAATTCATTTCATTCACAAGTAAACAGAAAAATTCTCCCTTGTGGTGCCGGGCTCCTTCACAACTTCACACATTCACCACTGATGCAATGCAATTACAGAGAAAACCAGTAAAAACATGCACATTTGTGGGCATATAAATTAACAGACTGAAACAATCAACAAAAGGGTAACTAACCCGTTTAAACATAAGTTTGATGGGAGAGTTTGTAACCGGAAATGAGAGCCGACAATCCCAACGAGAGGAATGCCAAAAATTCCATGCTTATTGCTGAGGCTGATGCATCTGTAAATATGTTATCCGCGCCTTCTCGCATTCTGTTCGTCAGAGGTACTGCTGACGAAGCAGCTGATATCAGCAAGTATGACACAATCTGCAATACCCCACAAATCAACACAATCATTTTTTGTTATTGGACTAACTTAACCATTCAATCTGAATTTCGTTTCTCCTAAAGATAAGGACCTGATCACCAAAAAAGTCAATTTTCCCCACATACTGCCGTGGAATCACCTCTCTGCCGGTGGAAACTCCATACACCTGCCCGAAAGCTTGAAATCCGGTATACAAAGACGACAAAACCGCTATCGCCACCACATACCTACAAATTTTTATTTTATTTTTTTAATTTCACCACATCATCACTCAATATTAACAACATAAGAATTAAACCCAACAAAAAAGATTCAATCTTTACCTGTATTCTTCATATTTATCGAATTCCCTCCAATCGCCGTGCTTGTTAGTGGCCATTATAATGAAAGCCAGCAGCGAGAAGACCAAGCCCACGCAGCGTAAGGCCAGCGAACTCCTCTTCAAACGATCCTCTCTATTCCACCGCCGCACGATGTTGGCTACACCGCCGCACGCCGACGCCGTCGTCTGGTTCTCCAAATCTCCGCCGTCTGCTACTGCCGCCGGCGCCTGCTGCGCCACAGTCTCCGGATTAGGCTCGTCAGGCTTCGACATTGAACTCTTTTCACAAGAAAAAAGAAAAGGCAGAACTTTTTACCAAAAGGAAATAAATGAGGAAAAATGCTACTACATGCTAAATGTGTAAATAACACTCAGCCATTTAATTTTGGTAGGATGAGTGTTATATGTATCTTTGTGTGCGTTCGCCTCGGTTTTGCCGTGACAAATCAGCTTTGCCTTTCTATTCCAGTTTTCATCTTCACGAAAATTCCAAAAGTTATTCTTATGTACGGTTTACGTCAACAACAAAACTTTGTTCTGTTTTAGTTATCTAGTACAAATCCCAAGATATTTATTAATATTTATAAATTAAAAATTTTTATCAAAGAATATTTATAAATTAAAAGCATGAAATCAATATTTAATACAATGTACCTATATTAATTTATTGAAAATATTATATAAAATTTAAATTGTGCAAAATTATATAAAAATGTCTATTTATAAAATTAGTACACCACTCGCGCGTTGCACATAAGTGATTACATTATATTGGTTTCAAAATATGTGTCATTTCAAAAATTTTATTCAGAAATTCAATTTGATAATAACGCGATTCCATAAAATAATTATTTTGGTAAAATTTTATCATATATTTAAAAACTTATGTGAATAATAAGTATAAATATAAAACTTATATTGTTTCATTAATTAAAATGAATTTATTATTGTATAAAATATCCAAATCAAAATACTTAAGTAGTTGAGTAAAATAATCAGTCATAAGATTTTTTATGCCAAAAATATCGATACTCCTTATCATGCCAAAAAAAAAAAAAAATGAACAGTGCATTTAACACAAAAATTATTTGAAATGACGTAAAAGGAAATGAATTAAATTGAGACCCGCTAATTATACAAAAAATAAAGACCAGAGCTTTTTCTATAAAAAAAAACATCGATACACGCACATTATATCAAAATATCAGTTCATAATATTATATCAGAGTTACAATAATTTTATTATGTTAATTTCATACGAAAATTTGAAACTCATGCTTAAAAACCAATATATTGGCCTGCGCATTATAGAAAAGAGTACACTATATATTGATTAAGTTTTCAACAAATTTTCTACAAAAAAAATGTCATCAAATAACCTAAATAAATTTGCTCACTTTATACCATATATTGATTAATTTATTTCCTACAGATACAACCATCAATATCAAAAATAAATTCGTCCACTTTCTACCATATATTAATTAATTTAAATAATTTGAGTAATTAAGATATCTTAAAATATGACTTAATTATTTCATTAAATAATGAGACGCAATTTCCATAAATGATCATTTTATATATACCATAAATTGTTAAATTAATTTTCCAAAATAGTAAATAGATTTTTTTTAGGGAAATAGTTATTATTTAAAAAATAATCAAACATTTACATATATATAGATAGATAAAATTATACAAGTAATTAACTGATTTAGCTTAAACAAGATAGTAATGATACCAATTTATGAAGATGAAATGAGATAATGTTATTTTGGGTCGGGTGGAGCCCTTTGATGCGTGGTTCGGATTGTTACACCCTATCAATGTTAGGAGTGGGGTCATGCTGATTTATAATATACAAACTAGTAAATATTATAAATAATATGTATATAAAATATTAAAACTACAAAATAAATAATGAACATATTACATTTTACAAATGTGATCCTTAGTAAATGAATAGTATAAATTTAGATCATTTAACTATCAATAAATCACTGTATTAATTGCATAAAATATATTTATAATTTTGAGGACCATGATCAATTAATTATCTAAAAATATTAAAATTAGAATAAAAGATAGATTTATTATTATTATAGAAATTTATTCATGGGTTTGGGCCGTTTGGCTATGCCATTAAAATTATTTAGCTAATTGTTTTTAATAAAATAGATTAATGAGATGCAAAAAACTAATATTAGTTTTAGTGTAAATAGCTTGAAAAAAATTACAATAATTTCTTTTATGATTATATCAATTCGATACTCCATTTAGTATGATTATAATTAGTTTTTTTCTAATAATAACTATTAGATATGCGATTTAGTATGCCAAATTGTACCTTTTTCCAGTATATAATGACTAATGAATGGTCTTCATGACTCTTTTTCCAGAAAACAAATCAGCCCTCATAATTTTTTTTTCTTTTTTTTTTTCCCTTATAATAATTTTCTTTTAATCTGCATGAGTTAAGATATCAATGTCGCTTATTGCTCTAATATGTGTGGTGTGTACAGTTTGACCAAATTTGGACCCTTCAATCAAAGAAATACAAAACATCACATTCCAACGTTCTTTTAATTCCACTAAATCATTTTCCTTCTGCAAATGCAATAGACTTATTTTGCTTCCATTAGAAATATTGTTTGTTGTTCAATCAACAAAGAACAGCATCCATCATCATCATCATCATCATATATATATCCCACCTAATCATAATTTTCCTTGAAAAACAAACTTGTCAACAACATTAAGAATCTGATCAAATTTTAGCCCTCAAAACATTTTTTTTTTTCCTGCATTCATTCTTTTTTGGTCCCTCATCACATTATTATACCTTTTGAGGTAAAATCTTTTCGAGGGACTTAATAAAGATAATGGGTGCGTGTTGTTCGTGTCATCGGGGTGTCGGTCATTTCGAAGGTCTTTTCATGGAAGGCGGATCGGAAGGCATTAAAGAGCTCGATAATGGAAAACTCATATCGAGAGGAGATAAAGGCGCGCTCGTTCGTCTTCAGGGTTCGTCTAAATATGTTTCTATGTTCTCACAACAAGGCAAGAAAGGCCTCAACCAAGATGCCATGACAGTTTGGGAGGTAACATTATATTATATGCACGAAAATATTTCATATTATATTATACTAATAAGATTACATTTGTCTTTAGAGCTTCTTAGGTGATAGAGAGACATTCTTGTGTGGTGTGTTTGATGGACACGGGCCCTCGGGCCACATGGTTGCACAATACATTCGCGACATTTTGCCGGCAAAGATATCATCTTTATGTAAAAGATGGGACATTGAGGAGAGAAATAATCGTGACAATGAGATGAGTCCGGAGATTAATAATAAGAATCAATTGTTTCAATCATGGAAATCAAGAATGATAAATTGCTTCCACGAGATGGATGATGAACTCGAGGCTAATGCTTCAATTGAAAGCTATTGTAGCGGCACAACATCTGTTATCGTGCTTAAGAAGGTATATTGTAAAACTTCTTGTTCAAATAATAGTTTTATAAGTTCCGATTCCAATAAGTTGACCCTTCTTTGTCAGGGTCAACATTTGATCATTGCGAATTTGGGAGATTCGCGCGCTATCCTCTGCAAAAGGGATGATGAAAATAATCAAATTATTTCAGAGCAGCTCACAGTTGATCTCAAACCAAATCTCCCAGGTTGTTACAATTTACAATATCGGATCAGTTTTGGTTTACTAATAATACACTGTAGTAATGTAGCCTTAATCTTGTAACTTGGTAACCTATAGATGAAATGGAGCGAATAAAAAGTTGTGAAGGCCGAGTTTTGGCAATGGAAGAAGAGCCAAAAGTGTACAGGATTTGGATGCCAGACCAAGATTGCCCTGGACTTGCCATGGCAAGAGCTTTTGGAGACTTTTGCTTAAAAGACTTTGGCCTCATTTCAACTCCTGATGTAACTTACAGAAAGCTCACTGAAAGCGATGAATTCGTAGTCTTAGCAACCGATGGGGTAAGTCAAAACCGATTTAATTAATCTCATTACGTATTGTCACGTATCAGTTGCTGATTAGAAAATGAAATGTTTGTATTATATTCATTGAATTTCTCCTTATACAATTACCTCGCGGATGCAATCAGGGCTTATTAGAGCGTGTTTGACAAGCACAATAAGCTAACTTATAGTTTATTTAGTTAGTTTGTAAGTTTCCTGTACTCAAATAAGTTTGGCTTAGTATATCGAGCCTTTTTAAAAAACTCGATCTTATCTTTAGCTTTTTAAGTAAGTTGGTTGAAATTTTTGCCAATCACTTTTCTCATATCATCTGCTAGTTTTTCAGCCACATGCTTCTCGAAATGCAATAATAAGCTGGTAACTTATCAGTTTATCAGCTAGTTTTACTAAACATAAACTAATTCTGAGAGAATCGTTTTTGAGTAATCAGATATGGGATGTGCTGTCAAACAACGATGTCGTAAAAATTGTCGCGTCGGCAAAAAAACGGTCAATGGCAGCAAAGCTTCTTGTTGACGAGGCCGTGAGGGCTTGGAGGCACAGATTCCCGTGCGCCAAGACTGACGACTGTGCCGTTATTTGCCTTTTCTTCAAGCGCCAACGGCCACTACTTACAAAGTCCTATTCGGAAGTGTCGGGCCTAAGCCAATCGGAATTACATGGCGGTGGGGACCACGGCCATGCGGGCACGGATGATGGGCTCGACACGGTCTTGAATTGGGACGACGGCCGGAGGTCGTCGCATCATTACAGCCGTCGTATCAAGAAGAGAAGGTTGGTCGCCAAGCTAGAGACAGTTGGAGAGTGATATTTATGTTGTTTGTTTGTTTGTTTGGGTGTAAAATTGTATTGAATTTGAGGGGGAAGATTTTTTATTGTCTTATTTTATTTAATGCAACGGTTACCCCTGAAGTTTATTTTCAAAAGCACTAAATGCTGCTCTTGTAATTAATAATACTTCAATTGATTTGTTTGGAAAATAGGCCTGGGTATCTGTAAATTGTTTGTTTTGAAAGGTGACTAAACTTTATGGAGGCTTACAATGGGTAAATATGGTTGTTTGGAAAACGTAATACGTTAATCAGTCTTGTAAAGCATCAAATTTCCTGAATATAATTGTATTGGGCATGTGTGAATTGTTGCAATCCCATTGAAAAGCTCAGACATATTGTAGTAGTGTATATCTTCCTCATAATATAATGTTGCAACCTTCATGAGCAATATGTATGGTCAATTGTGTAGCAATGCCATAAATCTGATTTGCTGAAATTGGATTGCAGGCACAAAGAATGAAATAAAAGATAAAAAGAATATTATAAATAACGATTGCCTACATCGTAATTTAAGATTTTCTTTCAATAAATAAAGGTACAAATATTCGCATAAAGTCATAAACAAAATATTAGAAATTAAAATGATATATTTAAATGATAATTTGTAAAAATTACTCTCAGCAAATGGGCTCATTACGTTCTATCGTAGCCTTACAGCCATATTTCTATGTGATATACGGGCCATTTGTTCTTCTCTCTAGCCATACTGTAAGAGCATCTCCAATGCTATGATGTTGAAAGGCAATAATTTTTAACACATGTCAATTGATGATTGTAATGTTAATCCACATAAAAATAATATTAAAAGACTAAAAATTTGAATCAAACTAGTATCTCCAATGCACCAATTTGAGAAGAATTTATTTGTATAGGTGGATCAATTATAATAATTCATTAATACAAGAATAATAAAAAATTAAACCAAATATAAAGTGAATTAATGAGTCATCATGTTTAACATGGTGTTAGATATTAGAAAGTGAGTTCAACATTGTTAACATTAAATGCCATCCACATCATCATGAAAGAGCTAATGACAAGATGCATTGGAGAATAAATTAGTAATAAACTTTCAAAAATTGATGATATGGATAATTTTTTGCAATGTCAAAAGTTGGAGATGCTCTAAGAGCATCTCCAATGCTATAAGTGTGAAAGATCATTATTTTTAACACATGTCAATTAGTGATTGTAATGTTAATCCACATTGGAATAATGTTAAAAGACTAAAATTTTTAATGAAACTAGTATCTCCAATGCATCAATTTGATAAAAAGTTATTTGTATAGGTGGACCAATTAAATAATTCATTGATACAAAAAAATAAAAAATTAAAACAAATATAAAGTAAATTGATGAGTCATCATGTTTAACATGGTGTTAGATATTAGAAAGTGTGCTCACCATTGTCAACATTAAATGACATCCACCTCATCATGAAAGAGTTCATGACAAGATGTATTGGAGAAAAAAATAGAGACACACTTTCAAAAGTTGATGATATGGATGACTTTTTATAATGTAAAAAATTGCATTGGTGATGCTCTAAGCCTAACATATAAGCCCACCCAAAATGAGCATTTTATCACGACAATCAATTTTAGCCCATAAGCCTATTTGAGCGTCGCATTGTGCATTTGCCCCTTTCGACTCTCAGTCCTAGCACCCTCAGAAGTCGGAGGAGCAGCAACCAGCAATGGTGAGGAAATGGAGAAAACAATAAAATTATTTTGTTTACTGTCGTTTGCTTGTTAATCCTCGAGATAAATGATGTTGTATCTCTTACGGTTTCAAATTTTTTCTGTATGTGGTTGAATTCTATCTATCGTCCTTTTAGATGGATTTAACCTGTTTTAGGGTTAGTTCATGCTTAGCAATTATTTTTTTCTCTCCAAATTTTGCTTCTATTTTTCTGTAGTTTGGCGATCCGTTTTTTATGACATTTGTTGTTGCTTTCAAGGATCTGATATCTGTTACTAGTAATTTTATGTATGCCCATTTAGCTAGCCTCTGTTTTGCCTTCACTTTTTGACAGGATTTCGGTAGTTTGTGTCAGTGATATATCTGGGCTAGCTGATTGTTGGTAACAAAGTGATTTAGATGTTTATGTTGTTTGCAGGCGTTTGTCAAGGCCCAGAAATCGAATGCTTACTTCAAGCGCTTTCAAGTCAAATTCAAGAGAAGGAGACGTGAGTAATCTGTAGCTACTTTTGCTTTTCATGTTCAAGTTATTAACACCTTGTGACACTGATAAATTTCCAAATATCCAATTCAGAGGGGAAGACTGATTACCGAGCTCGGATTCGCTTGATCAATCAGGACAAGAACAAGTACAATACTCCAAAATATCGATTTGTTGTGCGATTTGTATCCTGATGTGCGTTGTTTGTTTCTGGTTAATTTTTTTTCTCTTATTCTTCTAATATGGGAGCGGGTGTACTTGTTTTATTGTTCCTTAACTTAATTCAGTAGTATTTGTCTAGAATTTTTGTGGGCCTTTGTAATTGTAAAAGTTGTGAATGGTTTTGCCTTTTGAGATGAGTGAGCAAATACTTCATGGTGTGTACCTTAACATTATTCCTAGACCAACAAAGATATTACTGCCCAAATTGTGTCTGCTAGTATCACTGGTGACCATGTCCTTTCTGCTGCTTACGCACATGAGCTGCCTCGTTATGGCCTTGAAGTGGGCCTCACCAATTATGCTGCTGGTACTGTCATTTATTCTCTTGATCGAACCACTGAATGTTTTTTTTTTTTTTTTTTTTGTANTGTTTTTTTTTTTTTTTTTTTTTGTTCTTTTTTTGATTTTCTTGATTTTAGAAATTGATGCTTTCTTTTTGAACCAGCATACTGCACTGGCCTTCTTTTGGCTCGACGAGTCTTGAAAAAGCTTGAGATGGACCAAGAGTATGAAGGAAATGTTGAGGTAATGCAATTATATGCCCTGTGTCTTAAATCTTAATGTGTACATGCTCGTGTGCGTGTTCACGTACACCAATTCTTGTACTTGATATCTTTGTATAGTAACGATTGGATACTTTTTGCATTTTCAGGCCTCTGGAGAGGATTACTCTGTTGAACCTGCTGAAACCAGGAGGCCTTTCCGTGCACTCCTTGATGTTGGTCTCTTGAGGACTACAACTGGGAACCGCGTTTTTGGTGCTCTCAAGGTACAACCTGATTTGCTTGCAATTTTACTCAACATGTGTGTGTACAAGATCTGTGTTAGACTGTTTTCCCCCAATCAAAACAAATATGATCTGTAGCTGCTTATTCAATTTGTGCTAGTAATGTATCCAACTAAATTCCATTATTCATAATTTGGCCTTCTGTAACACTGTTGCAGTATACAATATTTCAGATAGTCAAATGTATCATTCATGAAATACCATGCAAGAAGTATGATGAGGCTGATTTAGATAATTTTTCCTNTGTTATTACCATGGAGCAGGGTGCTCTAGATGGTGGACTTGATATCCCCCACAGTGATAAGAGGTTTGCTGGATTTAGCAAAGATAGCAAGCAACTCGACCCTGAAGTGCATCGCAAGTACATCTATGGTGGCCACGTTGCTGCTTACATGAATGTAAGCGCTATCATTTTATTTATTACAAGTGTCGTTTAACAACAAACTTTCAATGATTGACGCCCTCTCGGAACAATAAATTAAACGTGTGAGTTTTGAGTATTGCAGACATTGATGGAAGATGAGCCCGAGAAGTACCAGTCTGTGTTTAGCCAGTATATTAAAAAGGGTATTGAAGCTGATAACATTGAAGCTTTGTACAAGAAAGTCCATGCAGCCATTCGTGCTGATCCCACAAAAAAGAAAACTCAAAAGCAGCCTCCAAAGGAGCATAAGAGGTATGATATTATTTTTTAAATAAGAGCAAGTATTGTGCTTATTTTTTTGATTGAAATTAAGAATTCTGCTAGTGTATTCTATGTTAAGCTTTTCATGATTGCATGTTGTACCTTCATTTGGCAGTGTTTGATTTTATGTCATGTTGTGTTCCTTAACAACTTTATCTGTGTTTACATAAAATTGATCTGTGTTATTCTGATATCTTGATTGCATGAGTTTTTTGCATTGCAATTGCAGATTCAATCTGAAGAAGTTGACGTACGAGGAGAGGAAGGCCAAATTGATCGAGAGGTTAAACGCTCTGAATGCTGCTGCAGGAAATGATGACGATGATGAGGATGACGATGAATGAACATCATCTGATTTGGGATTTCGAATGCTGCTGCAGGCAATGAGATTTTGAATTTTGTTTTGTTCAATGGGAGATACATTTGTTGTGTTTTTGAGCACTTTAAGGCTTCGGAGTTTATGGCATTTTCTGTTTCTAAAGACATTGTTTGGTGTGCCAAATTCCAGCATTTGATGAATATCTTCTATGCTTATGGTTTGAGCCAAGCCTTGGTTCGGTTATTTTCTGTGACTTTTAGCTGCCACTGGAATTTGAATGTGAGCCTGTTACTGATCTCATTCAACCCCTTACTGCTAAATGCTAGTTTTTTAAGAGAGTATTCATTATCGACTGATTTTGAAAATGATGTCTTTAACAATTTGATAGGCTAAACTAGCTGCTAGCTTGACAATTGATGGACTATATCATACACGAAAATTGTGGATTATTCGGGTTTTCTTTTTTCATACAATTATTTTTCCGTCGTTTATTTAGGGCTTTTTGTTGCAATAACTATAAGTCTCAAACCATTGATCTGTAAGAGCATCTCTAATGGGATCTTATCTATTTTAGATAGAATGGCATTAAGAAAGGAGATTAAAAAATTGTATCTCCAATAGTTAATGTTGAAGATGGTTTAATTTGACATGTGCAAAATTTTAATTGGTTGATAAAAAGAAAAAAATTGAATAAATAATATAATATATAATAGAAGTTGTCTAAAAATACTTATACATCTAGAATAACTTTTAAATTTATTTTATGACACATAGTTTTTTTTGTGCCATGTGACAATAAAATAAGGCAATCCAAAGGTCATTGAAGATGCTCTAACTCAGCTAGATAATTGTGGATTATTGGATTATTCGGTTTTGTAATGATCACATAATTATACCTTCTCAACAAAAAAAAAAAAATATTTTTTTTATTTAAATGTCATATTTTAAACTATAATATACTTTCTCAATAAAATATAAATATTTTTTGATTTAAATTTCATATTTTAAACTATAATATACTTTCTCAACAAAAAATAAATATTTTCTTATTTAAATGTATAATATTTGGCAAGTCATGATTCATATTTCTTTAATCTATTATTTGGCAAATTCGCACCTCAAGCATTGTGGCCATAGACTTTTCTAGTGTTGATTTACACGAAGATACGTGATATCAAGGTGAGATTTAGCCTAGTTTCATTTGTTCTTTTTTATTTTTTACTTTTTTTTTTTATACAAATTTGTTCTTTAATATTGTGTAAACTTAACACAAAGGTCTACATTAACTCCAAAACAAAAACGCGTCAAAATATATCCATCCATTTAAATTAAACCGGAGCATCCTTGCAGCATCGCCTAAATCGTTGAGCATCAAAATCAAATCCCTAGACAATGGCAGCTAATTCTTCTCCGGCGATCCTCCCCATCTCCAACCCCCAAACCGTCCCGGCCGCAGCTGCCACCCCTGCCGACAACCACCAACTCTCTCCCCCCGCCCCTCCCTCCGCCCTACGCGCATTCTTCTCCGGCATCTTATCGACTGTGCGCGGCGGCCTAGCCAACCGCCGCCCCTGGACGGAGCTTCTTGACCGATCCGCCTTCTCCAAGCCGGAATCCGTCTCGGATGCCACCCTCCGCCTCCGTAAGAACTACACCTACTTCCGCACCAATTACCTCGTTATCATAACCGCCGTCCTCGCAGTTTCCCTGCTGACGAATCCCTTCTCCCTGATCCTCCTCGCCGGCCTCCTCGCCTCCTGGCTGTTCCTCTACGTCTTCCGCCAGTCGTCAGATCCGCCGATCAACCTCTTCGGACGTCAATTCTCCGATCGCGAGACGCTCCTCTTCTTGATCTTCTCGACCGTCGTCGTCATCTTCCTCACCAGCGTCGGATCCGTTCTCGTGTCTGCACTCATGGTCGGAGTCGGTATTGCCTGCTTGCACGGTGCTTTTAGGGCTCCAGAAGATCTGTTCCTTGATGAGCAGGAGCAGCAGGGAGGTGCTCCTGGCTTCCTTTCTCTCTTCACCAATGGTGCCCCCATTGTTGCGCAGCCATCCGTAGCTGCTAGGGTTTGATCTTCTGTCATTGTCTCAGGGGTAATCTAGTAAATTTTATCTGTTGTCTGTTTTTCTTTAACAAGATTTTTCATTTATCTTTTCTAGATCTACTGAATGAGTTTGTATGAATCTGATGGCCGAACTCTAATGCAGTAATATAATTACAAATATACATATATTTGCTTAATCAATGGATGTCAATATTTTTCCTTGAGTGTTGTTGTATCGTTTATTTCCGGGAACCCTCAGCTTTTTGGGCAAGTAGCTTCAATTTGATACTGATCTGCATTTTTGTGACTAGTGTTGCTTTAAACAGTGGAGCCTATCTTTGAGTCACCTTCCATGTAATTTGATAATATTTATCCGACAGATTGCCATACTTAATACCACCATTCATCCTTGCATCTTGGCTTTATTTTTTGTATACATGTTCAGTGTTGTCTGCCAATGTGATCATTTTGCAAGAGAGGGGAACTGTAAATTCTTGCAAGTTGAATGTATGAAAATTATGAGTTTGTTTGTTTTCCGTTTATTTAATTTGATTTTTCCAAATTTCCGTGGTCGGTTACTGCCGAGCAAAGTTAGTAGTATAAGATTCTCTGTGGTTTTCAAAGTTTCGAATCCTTTTGCAAAGCAAGCTGTTTGATCAAAATAGCTCTTGATATCTTACATGTTAATGGAATAAAAACTCAAGCTAGGGAAAACACCACCAAAACCATTGTTACGTTTATTTCTTTTTCGGGCATCTGCTCACATGCTGTGCAATATTTAGCATATTATCATTCTTGTGCGTAAAGTGTCAAGTGGTGTTATTAGCTTGCAGCTCAAGTGGTATATCTCACCGGGTGTTGATAGAGGCTTTGAACTTCGTAACTTGTAGTTTATTTATATTTATAATCATGAAGCTGAGTGTATAAAAGAGCCAAAGACATGGCTGGCTATTTTGTTGGTAGCATGATTGGCTCTTTAGTTGCAACTGAAAAACGGAGCAGAGTTTATACTTAACTCCATTTTCTTGATAAATTGGAATTCCATACTCTTTACAGCATATAGTGGTAGCCTGTCCTTGTGTTGTGTGTTGGCTGATATCTACTGCCCAACCCGTCTCGCTATCTGTCATCAATTTTTTAATAACGAAGCAATATAGGCGGTCAATGTCTCATATGCAAAGTGAGATTTGACAGTCGATCCATCTGCTCTCATTATCTCGTTTTACTTGTTATGGAAGGGTGATGTGTATAATTTGACCAATGTCATAGATTTACTTGAATTCCGATTCATACAGGCAATTTTATGTTGAGGAATTATGTGATTGTTAGCGGTGGGTTTGGTTGTTTTTAGTTCTGTGTGGAGTTGTGGAAGATGCGAGTGCCAAAGAATCACTAGCAAGTGAAAATGGACAACACTGTAAATGACAAAAAAAATAAAATGGTGGAGATTTGACATCATTTTTGCTTGTTTCATTTATCTTATTTTGTTTAATTTTAAGTTAAAACCAATCAAGGTTGAACATGAATATGTACTCAAAGAAACAAGCAAAAATGATGTGCTTTTGGGGCTTAGTTTCATTCATCATTATTTTGTTTTTAGTTCAAGTTCCTCAAATCATGATAAATGCTTTTGGGGCTTAGTTCCCACCACCCCCTCCAAGAGTAGGATATGTGCTCAAAAGAAAGTGAAAATAATGTCATTAAATAAACAATGTTATGATTATTGTTGCCTTAAGTGATTTAGTCTTACTATATATCCTTGTCCGAATATTGTTAACAACACTTGGGAAAGGTAAACCATAGATTAGATTTCATGGTGATGCTAACCAAATTAAAACCCAAGTTATCTCTATTTTGCATCTAATTACACTGGAAATTAAATTATATGAAAGCAAGTTAGGCTAGAGAGCACAAAAAAGATAACATCAAATCTCTTATGTTCAAAGTTTCAACATAATAAACGGAAAAAATTGACTCACCCATCACTTACTGACAGACAGTGGTATCCGCAAAGAATAAAATACCATAATACTACTACACTTTGTAATTACGAAAGTATGAAAGGGTTCAACAAGTCAAGGCTATCCAACGGCTGTCCAGTATGGATCCATGTCCAGATTGCATTCCCATTACCAAACAAAGACCGAAAATAGCCGTTAGATTCTGTCCCGCGTCAAACACGGGCTCTGCATTTTCCACCCAAAATTACAGAACAATGGCCCTCATAAATAACTTATCTGCAGAAAAACATAAACAACAAAAAAAAGAAAAACAAGAAAACTATCCGTTGTCACTAAACCCAAACTCAAGCTCTCACCCTAACAACACATGCCTTCATCTTAAAAAGACTAAAGACACTGCCTCCCTCTCCCTTAAATATTCTTCTCCCATAAACCCTAATCTTTCTCTCTCTCTCTCTCTCTCTCTCTCCCGATAGTTCGTTCTTTCAAGAAAACATCTTTTGCTGAATATTTCTTTTTCAATAATCAATTTCTGATAATACGATAGTAGTTACATACTTACATGGATGATTCATTCCATTTATGGTTTTTCCTTTTCCTGCTTCCATTTCTCAAAATTTTTCTCGTTTCAGGCCAGCAATGGGATAGCCTTATGATCGCCCAATCCGATTACAACGCCCTGAATGCCCTCAAACACGAGCTTATCGACTCAAGAGGCGTCTTACGAAGCTGGAACCGAACCACCATCAATCCTTGCTTGGGCTGGGCCGGGATCAAATGCGTCAAAGCCCGAGTCATAGCCATCCAGCTCCCATGGAGAGGACTAAGCGGACAAATCTCCGAAAAAATCGGGCAGCTGAGAGCACTTCGTCGTCTTAGCCTACACGACAATCTTCTCTCGGGTCCCGTGCCCGAATCACTAGGCTCTCTCCCTAACCTTAGAGGCATTCATTTGTTCAATAACCGCCTTTCGGGCTCCATACCTCCTTCCATTGCTGCTAACTGTTTGCTTCTTCAAACGCTCGATCTTAGCAATAATCGGCTAACGGGATTTATTCCCCCGAACCTCACTAACTCGACCAGATTGTATAGGCTTAACTTGAGCTCCAACGAGCTTTCGGGCTCGATCCCCGTGAGCCTAGCTCCACCCCACTCTCTCACTTTTCTTGCTCTTCAGCGTAATAATCTCTCGGGGAGAATCCCGGACGAGTTAGGCACTCTTTTTCGACGACTAACTTGGATTGATTTATCGAGAAACAATCTCATGGGTGAAATTCCAGCTTCATTGGTTGCATTATCAAATCTATCTTCTTTTAATGTTTCCTACAATAATCTATCGGGCCCTGTCCCTTCATTTCTAGCTAACAAGTTCAACTCGACCTCGTTTGTTGGCAACATTCAGTTATGCGGATACACTGGCTCGAAGCTATGTCCCGATAATAATAGTTCATCTTCCTCTTCCCAAACGGGCCTCAAACATATAACATTAAGCACGAGGGATATTATTCTAATAGCAGCCGGTTCCCTTTTAATTGTTTTACTAATATTCTGCTGTGTGCTTCTCTGTTTCTTGATCAGGAAAAAGGCAGCCTCAAAGGCGGCTACCAAGGGCAAAACAGGAACTTCAGCCCCAGTCATGGAAGAAATGGCTGCCGCCGCTGGTCCAAGCCTCGACAATGGGGGCAAATTAGTCCATTTCGATGGCGACTTTATATTCACTGCTGATGATTTGTTGTGTGCTACTGCAGAGACTATGGGAAAAAGCGTTTACGGGACGACTTACAAGGCGACTTTGGAGGATGGAGATAATACGGTTGCTGTCAAGAGGCTGAGGGAGAAGATCACAAAGCCGCAAAAGGAGTTCGAGTCTCAAGTCTCGCTGCTCGGGAAAATCCGGCATCCCAACATCTTGGCTTTGAGGGCTTATTACTTGGGACCTAAAGGCGAGAAGCTACTCGTCTATGATTATATGGCTAATGGGAGCCTTGCATCTTTTCTTCATGGTAAAAAGTTTCAAACTTTTTACTTGTATTCACATGTTTGCTTTAAAATTACTTCATGATGTGAGATTTTATGGCTAATGGGAGCCTTGCAGCATTTTTTCTCCATAGTAAAATGTTTCCAACTTTTTACTTGTATTCACATATGTACTTCAAATTACTTGATAAATGTGATAGATTATTATATATTAAGTTTATGTTTAAACATTTATTATGCAGCTAGAGGGCCTGAAACGAGCATCCCGTGGCCCACAAGAAAGGCGATAGCCGTGGGAATAGCCCGCGGGCTATCTTTCCTCCACACAGAGCATAACATGGTGCACGGGAACCTCACGTCAAGCAACATCTTACTCGACCAACACAAGTGCCCGAAAATCGCGGAGGTCGGCCTTTCCCGCCTCGTCACCAGCGCCAATCTCATAGCGACAGCTGGCGCAACGGGTTACCGGGCCCCGGAGCTTTCAAAACCGAGGAACTCGAGCGCCAAGTCAGATGTCTTCAGCCTTGGCGTGATCTTATTAGAGCTCCTGACCGGAAAATCTCCGGGCGAGACAGGGGACGGGCCCAACTTGCCCCAATGGGCCTCGTCTGCCATGAAAGAGGAGGAGAGCAGCGCCAGTCGAGTATTTGATGCTGAGCTGTCGAGGGATGTGGCAGATGGAGATGAATTGCTCGGTGCTTTGAGACTCGCGTTGAATTGTGTCGACCCTTCTCCTGCAGTCAGGCCCGAGGCCCGGCAAGTTCTGCAAGGCCTCGAGGAGCTGAGGCCCAAAGAAGAAGTCGCGATAAGGCCCGTTTCGGGGGATGTTTGACCGTTTTTAGTTTAGTTGTGCGTTCATCATATACTAATACTGCTATTTTGCTTGTTCATTGATTTGTCGTTTAATAATATATATATTCGTTGTAAGTGTATATACATATGGTGATATTATTCATTAGAATCCTTGAGGGTCATGTAAAGATATGATTTTCTCTTGAATTTTTCTGTTTCAATAAGAAGGCAACCATTTTTTTCAGTTGAAGATGTGCAAATAGTATTCACTTTCTATTTTTAGCTGCTTTAATGTCCGGGATTGATAAATTATAGAATTGTTCCATCATAATAGTTCGCTGTTGAAACTTTTGAACACAAAGGAAAGCAAAAAAAGAATAACAGTGAAAAAGCACAATAATTGAGGTCCCTACAGTTAAAACTTAAAAGGTGCAGTTACATGATCATCGTGATTCATTTGTTCGTAGAGTGTAAAAGTGGAGAGAATGATGTAGAGCTTGAATTGTTGTATAACTCAATGAGGATTACAAGGTATTTATACAAGTCAAAAGAGATGAAAGAAAGGAAAGAACTCAAATGACCTAATCTACGAGATTTACCATATCATCTAATTGATACAACCTAATCTATATCATATCAATAAGATACAATTGCCATATTTATCGTATAAGAATATCACAAGATATTCTCTCAATACCCCCCCTCAAGTTGGAGCATGAAGATCACAAATGCCCAACTTGCCGAGAATGCCAGATAAGGAGTCACGACCCAAAGCCTTGGTGAAACAATCCGCTAACTGACGGTTGGAAGAAACAGGACGTGGAACCAAAAGCTTGGAAAGAATGTGGTGGCGAATAAAATGACAATCAATCTCAATGTGTTTTGTGCGCTCATGAAAAACAGGATTCGAAGCAATGTGGATGGCAGCACGATTGTCACAAAAAAGAGGGACTGGAACTGATTGAGAAACATGCAACTCATCAAGAAGACGGACAAGCCAAACCAATTCACTAGTTGTAGATGCCATAGCCCTATACTCAGCTTCAGCAGAAGAGCGAGATACAATAGATTGCTTCTTGGAACGCCAAGAGATCGGAGAATCACCCAAGAAAACAATAAAGCCAGTAGTGGAACGACGAGTGGACGGACATCTTGCCCAATCAGCATCACAATAGGCGCACAACTGAAGAGGACTAGAAGAAGGGAAGAGGAGACCCTGACCAGGAGCATTCTTCAAGTAGCGCAAAACACGAAGAGCAGCCTCATAGTGAGGGATACATGGCTGGTGCATAAATTGGGAAAGAACATGGACTGCATAGCTGATATCGGGACGTGTGACAGTGAGATAGAGAAGACGACCAACGATACGTCGATAACGTCCAGGATCATCAAATAACTCCCCAGAGTCGACAGAGAGATGATGCTGCTGTTCCATGGGGGTCGAGATCGGTCGGCAACCAAGAAGACCGCATTCTTGGAGAATATCAAGCGGATATTTTCTTTGGCTGAGAGCAATACCCGTAGAAGAGCGAGCAATCTCAATACCAAGAAAATATTTCAAAGGACCAAGATCTTTAATGCTAAATTGCTGGTGAAGGTACTTCTTAAGGTGGAGAATCTTGGAAACATCGTTGCCGGTGACAATGATATCGTCAACATAAATAAGAACAACCATAAAAGAAGACCCCTTCGAATAAAGAAATAGTGATGAGTCGGATGAAGACTCATGAAAACCAGCAGTAGTAAGAGCTTGAGCAAGCTTATGGTACCAATTTCGCGATGCTTGACGAAGGCCATAGAGGGATTTCTGAAGCCGGCAAACACGCGGCTCCCCCTGTTTGGCAAAACCTTGAGGAATCTTCATGTAAACTTCCTCATGTAAGTCGCGCCGCTGATCATTTAATTGGATTGCAATTTGATGACTTCACTTCGCTTCGTTCGTTCCCTCCACTTTGGAGTTAGGGGTGCGGGAAGCAAGAAGCCCGACAGAAGATTCATATGAGAAAACATAAGTAAACGGGCCTCCGCTTGAGCCTCCAAAGATAAAGGTACATGCGTTAAAAAGGTTCGATCCTTACATCCGTGAAGGAATGCTGGAAAAATCTCTCGTATCAAATCCCCTTCTTTCAGAATTGACTCACCAGAGATGCAATTGACTCGGCTAGGATTAATAATGCAGAATTGACAAGCGGATGAGTTTTCTAGTTGGCTATGTTGATATAGCTTAGATAAGGAAAATCTACGAGAAGAGCGTGTCTGGCGTCGTCAATGTAGATGGATTTGATGAGAATCTAGGTCGTCTCGGGACGCGCTACTAATATCAGTCGACCTTGACTCGTTTTTATAGTTTACATACTTTTGTATTGCCGCTCCTTACAAAAACCATAGTACGAGGAGAGGTGAGGATCGATTACATTGAGGAAGCGAAGCGCAGTGAAGTCCCGGAGCAAAAGAACGTTCTCCTGTGCTTCCAGACATGCTCAACTCCACATATTCTTGTACAAAAGGGGACCCATGTAGAAAGGCATTAGTGACATCGAGCTGATGGAGCTCCCATTGACGGATGGAGGCAAGAGCTAAAAGGCAACGAACAGTAACGAGCTTAGCAACGGGAGCAAAGGTCTCATGAAAATCGACTCCTTCAATTTGAGTGAAGCCTTTAGCCACCAAACGGGCTTTACAACGGTCAACACTGCCATCAGGATGAAACTTCACTCTATAGACCCATTTAGAATCAATAGCTCGCTTTCCAGGAGGAAGAGGTACGATACTCCATGTGTTATTGAATTCTAGAGCCTTGATTTCAGTAGACATAGCATCTCGCCAATGTTTATGTTGAACAGCCTGTCGAAAAGAAGTGGGCTCATCTGTAGAAGAGATGGCCGCTAACAAGGCAACATGCGACTTTGAAAATCTGGAATAACACAGAGTATGAGATAGTGGATGTACCATTGAGGAATCTGAAGAAGCGGCAAGAGTAGACGATGGATTATTTGGAAGGAGGGAAGGTGGCAATGTGTAGTCGTAATCGGAGAGACGACGTGGCAATTGGCGGGTCCGGCGAGATGGTGTTGTCGGTGATGGAAAAAGCAATGATGAGGATGGCCCGTCTAATGCAGAAGAACCAGGACTAGGTGGTGCAGGTGATGAGCTGGGCGCGGCCGTGGATGAGGCAGTCGGAGAAGAGTGGAGCACAGATAAAGGAACCGGATCAATGGCGGCATCACGAACTTGACAGTCAACATTTAAAGAGGCAGAGACCAAGGGTGCAAAAGTGGCAAAAGGGAATTGATCCTCGTGAAATGTCACATCTCTGGAAGAATAAATAAGGTGACTGTCTAGGTCATAAATTCGGTAGTCCTTGCATAATGTGAGTTATGTGCATTGAATATTTTCACAAATCTTCACCACATTAATAAAACACATCAC